GTTAAGACTACAATATAGCATGCAGAGGGCAACTCAACGAATACATTTCCTCAATACCTGCTCTTCTCTATCAGAGTGCTAGCAGTCTCATGGCTCCTGGCAGCCTCATGTTTATCTTGTTGCTAAGACAGAGGCTGTCATTGCTTGTAAATGCCTGACACTGCTGTGAAAACCAGCATTTATTGGTTGGTTTCTGTCCTCTCTGCCTTTTCTCAGGGTACTTGTTTATCAAAGGATACATATAACACATCACTTCTTTTTGCTGTTTCCAGTGTGATGGTCCAGATGTTTGCTTTAAGTGATGCCCTAGTACAGCTTTATTTGTACATTTGTTCTTCCTATAAAAATGTGCTCTGTGGCTTTCAAGTGCAGTACAACAGCTTCACAGTCTGAATGCCTTCAAGTCATTTATGCAGAGCAGGTTTGAGAGCACAAACAAGATAATAGACCCATCTAGCCTTGTCTGCCTATGGCCTTCTCATTTGCTACAGATTTGGAAGACATGATTATTATCCAACAGCTTGGGCCTACAAGGTGTTAATACATGAACAAATTGGAATATTTATTTTAAATTCAGCTTCATTTACTTTTAATTATTTATATTTTTAATAACTTTTAAAGAATTTATTTAAAATTGTCACTGTGGGCCTACAGAATTGCAAGATGCCATTATCCCTACATCAGCATTGCTGGTCTGTATTTACTGTTTTAAGCATGCACATACGAAACAATAGTTCTTAAGAGATGTCTGACATTGGAAGGTTCCCACGTTTATGTACCTTAATAGTTTCTTTGTTTCAGTGCAGAAACTGTATTGTTGAGATCGTGAGAATTATTTCCAGTGGATATGATATTTTTTTCCAGCTGGTTCATATGAGCATGAAGAACAACCTTTTACAAAACAAGCAGATGTGCAAAGTCGCTGAAAAAGGTCAGAAGCAGAAGGAAAGAAGTACCTCATAATTTGTTTGGAAGTGCAGATATCAACTGCTTCCTCTGATTACACTTTTCAAAAAACTGATGCTTAGAGATTCCAGAAACATAAGTTGCATTTGGCCCATTATCTGGAACATTGATTAAGTCTTTCTTACTTGCATTTATTCTAATACTCCTGAATCCACAATTTTTTTTTTTAAATAGTAGATTCTACATATCATACTATAATTCATTTTATTTGGTTGATTTTAACAGTTCATCATAAATTCAGTTGTTATTTGATTTTCATAGAAACTTGGGTTGTGTTGTGTTTGGTTTGTATGGGATTTGGGGACAAATGTCTAAATTTGGGATTTGGATTTGAGGTTGCAAGAATTTCTGCTGCTTCACTTTTTTCCTCAGTCTTCTTTATGTGAGAATTCAATTTCCCTGTCATTGCAGACAGAGGCTTAAGAATACGAACTTAAACTAAAACAAACAAAAAATATCTCAATATTTCCCATTTGCTGCCTTAATATTTGCCTTAATATGAAGTCATGACAACTGATCTCACAGTTTTTGAACACTTGAGGTCAGCAGTTCTGGATATACGCATATGATGATGTGAGTTTTACACACACATGGGGGGGGGGGGTGGGGGGAAAAAAAAAAAAAGGAAGAAGATTTTGTTAATTGTCTTCCATACTAGAAATAAGCCCAGACTTGAAGGCAATAGTAACTACTAGCTGCACTGCATTGTAAAGATCTAGCAAAGTCACAGAAACAAATACAAAATTATTTGGATATTGTAAAACACATGTGAGTGAAGACAAATAAACACATTTTTATCTTTAAAAAATCCTGATTTAGATGGCAGTCCTGCCAGTCAGATTCCCCAAGGAGCATTTCTTCTTCCATTCTCTGTAACCTGCAACTGTTGTACTAGCAGGAAACCAAAGCTCAGAGTTTTCACTTCTGTAATAGAACTCTTAAGAATGTAAGCCATTAAAAAATGTTGGTTGTCTAGAAGAAGCCTGTGTTTGTATTCTGTAAACTTTCTTTAAGCTGATTAATTTTGTCTGTAACTTCATGCTCATGCTGACTCTGATGAATTTTGTAGGAAGGATTTGCAGGAAAAGCTGGAATATGGAAAATAGATAGCAGTCTTGTGTTGTTTTTCAGCTCCTGCTAGCTTGCTGAAGCATAATGTTGCTACAAGTAAATTGTTCAGTCTACCTGCCCCCATGTTTAGTGGCAACTGTAAAAATAAAAGGCATCATCAAGCACTATGTAGATTGCAACCACCCCCCCCCCCCCCGGCTAGGGAATAGCTGTGAAACTATGTATTTGTGCTGGAAGTAGGAAACCGCTGTGAAGGACATGAAGAAAAAACGATGGAGAAGTCTTTAAATACAGGCCTTGAAACTGTGAATAGAACAGAGCTGTACTTTGAAATAATAGTGTTTAATCATCTGTTATTGTTTCTTTTTGTAGAAATAACTGCATGTCAATATTTAAGGCTGTAAAGATTAAAAGTACATGATACGTATGTTAGGGAAGTGGAACCCTTCACGCAACTGCAGTCTTCCTTCACATCTGTAGGTTCCAGGCTTCCTTGCCTCCTCTCCTTACTCTGTGGCTTTGCAAACTGGACTGTTTTTCAACCTACAGAACTTCTGGCAGAACCTTCTGCTGACATTCAGTTCAGAGGCTAGACCTGTCCCTGTGGAGAGAACAAAAGAATCTATGAGACTACTCATGGTATGCCAAACATAGGAAGCTGACAATGTGACTAGGGTTCTGGTTAGCTGTGATGTCCTCTAAGATGCTAGGATCCAAGTCAATGGAACAGGCAGCAATGAATATCATAGATTCGTGGACTTGAACTGTCTGGAAACTTATCTGAATGGTTGGAGTCCATCACTGTAGATGTAAGAACTTTTGTCTCTTTTGCAATGAAGGAAGATATCCTCAGGGTTTTGGAGTCCCAGAGGTTACAAAATACATGTAGATCTGGGTTCTGTTTATTTATTTAATTTTATTTTTTCTGCTCTGTTCTATGGCTTCTTGAAATAACTTGATGCAAAGCAACAGGATTCCTTGTACCAGTAAGGAAAAGGACCTGTGACAGCAAGGGGATAATGGAGACTGCAACAGTTATTGGGCTGACTTAATTGCAATGTCAAATGTCTCACAAACTGAGAGGAAAGACAGCAGTGTACCTTTTGGGATCTTAATTTTATCTTTGTGTCTCAAGTTGGAAGCAGGCCACATTTTTGTACTTAGATCTAACTGTAATTCTGTTCTTTGCTAACAAGGAAGTTCTCAGCTATATGCATAAATCAACGTGCATGTGCAGTTTAACTGAACTGTTCAAGGTAAACAAATTTGCCAGTGATTGTTTCTGGGAATAACATTTAGAGTGGAGTTGTCATTTTCCAAACAAGCTTGCATTTCATTTAAAAATATTACTGCACACACGTAACATGACTGCCCTACAGCAATGATTTTTTTGGAAAAGCTAATAAAATGTCAAATATTTTGCACCATGGAGATTAAAGAAATTTTCTAATCTTGTTTGGAGAGTTTGGAGATTCTCTATTGGGTATGAGTAAAGAAAAACTTGGAGCATGAGATGGAGTTTGGAGAACTTTTTTGTACTGACAGATGCAGAGGGCCTGGTGGAGGGGAGCATTGCCATGGAATCATGGCACCTTAACAACATTTTATTTTTTTTGTGACTATAATTATTTGGAAAACTGACTTGTAGCTGAGGTGGTAGAGGAAAACTGGAATGTCCTGTGTCATCTAAATTCCAGGAAGAAAACTCTAACTTCAATGTGGTATTAGAAAGTGGCATTCCTTTATTCCTCAGATACATACGACGTGACTTGACAAATCGAGCATGCTCCCTCAGAGTTAGTAATCTAAGGTTTATCGTATATAGAAGCTCAAGTCTCATCCAATCTACTCTTAGCATACTTGCTCAGTTTTCTATCAGGAGCTTAGGATGAGCATCGGGCTCAAGTTTGCCCTAGTAATTGCTGTTTTACATAGTGGTACTGAGTTTTGGAGTGTCCTCAGACTCAAATAAGTCACCCCCTGCATTTCTGAGTGAAGTTTGTCAACGTGAATTATTCAGTCATTAATTCTGGGTAACCTTGCCTGCAGCAGGAGAGTTGAAACTACGTGATCATTGAAGTCACTTTCAACCCATGCCATTTTATTATTTACATGGCAGTTTGTTGAAAATAATATTTTGTTACTGGCAGCCTGTCTGCCTGTCCTCAGTGGAGCTGGTGAAAGTGCAGGATTCAAACCTGTAGGCTCTAAGTTTCCTATCTGATGCTACACTGAACATATGAACTCTATTTGCATAGTGAGGATTTCCAAGGACCATCTTTTAGATGCTTCAAGCTCAATTATCCTCTATTTTTTCATGTTCTTCCAGTGTCAGTTTGCCACTTCTGTAGAGGAGAGCACTCCTTATAGCTAGAGGGGATTTCCTGTCACAGGCTTTCACCAGCTAAGGTGTGGTATTTGCACATAGTGCTGATGGCTCTTCTTAGAGTTGTAGGTGTGGCTGACACACAGGCTACTTGTGCTTTGTTTCTAGTCTTTACACTGATTAACTGTCCTCATCCTGTTCTTTGCTCTCTCCTTTGGGAGGACAATCTCGGCTAATATATTGTATAATAATTTATTCTATTAATCTGTTCATTTTACAATCACTAGTTAATTAGAAGGACTGTAGGAAGTGCACTATAAAAGAAGGTAGGTGATGGTTATCTTGCAGTGGTAGTCCCCAGTGATTACTTCCGCTGTGCCTTCTGCTTTCATTTAGTGAACACTTAGTGGCAATTTGTGTAATGTGGATTATAACATTTCATGTTTGACATCCTACTTTAGCACCACGTGTTTTAATTGCAGCTTTTGTGAGTGCTACATAAAATGTAGAAATGAAGACAGTGAGCCCTGAATATATATAGTGATAACTTTAATTTGTGTTGAATTTTTTGATTATTTTTCCTTCATACTTGTTTGCCTTATCAAAGAAGTGCTCATGATTATATAATCTTTTTCAGTGGAGATCTGAAATTATGTTCTGCAAGATGTAGGACATGTTCTTATACTTTACCAAATTTTCCTTACGATGTCAAGATGGTACTAGGAGAAAAAAAATACCCTGACCACAGTATGAGAATAAGGATGGTTGACTGTTTGCAAGCAGACATGACAAAGTACCTAGCAGGATCGCTGTAAGTAAACATTGTTAGGTTTATTTTCGGTCATTACTAATTGGGTGCAGAATTAAATGTTCAGATGAATGTAAAGATATTCTTAATGTGCTTTCTTACGTGGAGGAAGCTTAAGCCTGGAAACCTGTTGAAGCTGATAGTAAGATTTGCGTGAAATCTTCAAGATGTTCTCTTTGTTACTTAGAGGGGAACTGATAGTCTTAGAAATACTTTGGGAACATTTTGTCAGTTTAATATGCATCAGTTTGGCCTTCAGACAGTGTCTAATACCATTTAGAGCACCAATTCCTTCTTTGACCTTGTTTCTACAGGTATCCAAACAGCCAGCAGTACAACATTGTTGTCGGCGCTTTGATGCAGGCATACCCTTTCCTGAATGAAGATGGGAGTGGCTTCGTAAGTATTGTAAACAGTAATCTATCGTTAAAATATTGAAATAACTCTTCCTTTTTTTTTTTTTTTTTTTTTTCTTTTCTTCCTAGCATAATCGATCACAAGAATATAACACTTCAGAGCAAATCAATATCAATTCCTTTTATACTGGATTAATTCAGAGCTGTAAGCTTCACTTTGACATGCCTGCCAAATCACATTCTTATTTCATTACATTAATCAAAGGTTAATCCAACTATGTGCCACTTCTCAAAGCTACCCTGAGATAATTTCAGGGACACAAAAAACAGTCCCTGGATCCCTCATTGCAAACTGTGTACAGTTTTTTTTTTTCTGATTTGAATTCCCCCAAAGGGTACATTTGAGTAGTAGTGATTTTTTCTTTTTTAAAATTAAAAAGAAGCCAAGTCTTTAAAAATGAAATAAAATTTTAAAAATCCAATAAAACAGAAACAAACCTTTCTGTATGCTAACAGATGATTTACCCTCTTGCAAAGTGTTATAATCATATGAATGTTAGATATGCACTGACATAATGTTTGAGTTTTAGGTTTGTCAGGAATCTAGGCACAGATTAAAAAAAATAAAAATTAAAAAAAATAAGCTTTTAAACACTGCTTGGGATTTCTCATCTATAACTGAAAGCAATGGAAGAAGAAAACTCAAATTTGAACCACATTTTTTCCCATTCCCTTGTGACTTTAAAATACGTCTATGGTCTCCAAGGACAGCATTCACCTTCTGACTTCTCATCATTGCTTTGCAATGTAATACTTTTATAACTTCTTTTAAAATCTTGTGAGACTCAGAGGAGATTGTTAACTTTCAACATGCATACCCACAACATGCATAGTTGCTGCAGAAAGCAAATGATTTTGAGAATTTAAAAAGCAGATGATTTTCAAAATTAAAAAAAAAAAAAAAAAAAGTGATGGTTAGATGGTGGATATTCAAGGTCTGGATTCAGCCTCATCTGTAAAATGAGAGCGATGAAAGAAAAAAAACATCTCATGGAAGGGAGAAATGCAACAGAAGAATGAGCCTCAGATCAGTGTGTCTTCATCCAGAAGATCTCTCTGCATGTCTCAGTGGGAGACCACTGCCCAGTTCTGGGCAATGTCATGGCTCCACTGGGCTGCATGGAGTGCACATCTGGGCTCTTCCAAAGAATTTTTTATAGCCTTAAAAATCTTAAAATAGAAATTCTTAGGATGGGCTCTCAGAGGAGTTTCATCACAGGAAAAGAACATGAAAACGTTTTTGGATTCGTCCATGGCAAGCATGTGTGTGTGTTCGTGCCTTGGGTGCGCAGTGGCAGTTGTGCTTTGATGGAGAAAAAGAAAATTTCATCCTTTGAGAGATCTCAATCTCTTTGAGAGAACAGTTTTTTTGCTTCTGATCCAGAATACAACATCAAAGTGTAAAGAGCTTGATTCAATGGAAAACTTCATATTGGGAGTGTTACAACTCCTGTTAAACATTCATGGAAATGAAATAGCTCAGGAATTTGAACAGAGGAAAGATCTGCAATGGAGCAACAAATCAAAAATTGCCTAAATTCTCGTGAATAGAACTACATTTTTGTGACAGAAACAAATGTTGTCATAAAGCATTAAGGTTTTTTTCCCCATAAAATTGGATGCAATTTGTTTTCATCTCCAAACTACTTTAAGTAATGTAAACGTTGTGGTATGCATAATGTAGAAACTGAGTAATATTATTAACCTCATTCCATTGCAAAGAGACAGGTTTTAGTAAAAGGCTTAATGTTTCAAGTTTTATTTGTAGATTATTTATAATTCTATTTTCTTGGTTATGATTTTCCATGAGAATTTGCAGTAGGGAAAAATATTTTTCTGTGCTATGGTTAATATAACTGGGTAAGTTTTGAAATAAGGTTACTGATAACTTATCTATGTGCTATAGATTTAAGGCTATTCACCTCAGAAGAGGGAATTACTTAGGATTTCTGATAAATCTTTCATAACATTAAAAAAATAAATAAGAGAAAAAACTCACTTAAAAGGTCTGGAGCAGTTGAAATGAAACCAATTTCTCCATCCCCTTGTCAGATTGGCTTTTGGAAATAAGTGTTTTAAAGTGATTACTGAAAGAGTTTTTCCCATAATAAAGAATAGTGTTACTCCAAATTAACACACTGACATTTAAATATAAATAAATAAATATTTATCTCGATTTCATCATGAGATGAATTATTAGGCTTTTGATCTATGATGTAACAAAAGCATTATTTTCAAGTAATTACAGGAAAAATAGGCTTTAATATAAAATGTCCATTTCATAGTCACAGCAGTCAGAAAATTACTGGGGTGATAGTTTCTGACTACCTGCAAGGCATTATTATGTTTTATTCCTCCTAATTCTGGAGTATACAATAAACTGTTTGGAAGGAGTCACTGACTATTTCATGTTGAAAATGGTACACTTATATTTGGAAGGTAGAGGGGGGGTTAGTAAATGCTTACTTCTGTATAAGCCACTCCTGGAGTTCAGCAGTGCTCTGATCCCAGTGATACCCAGGATCACACTGTTGACATGCTTGATTATGCAACTGCTGCATGCAAAATGATTATTCTCTAGTAAATTACTGCTTTTAATCTGCGTGTAATCCGTTCTCTCCCATGGCAGATACACACAAACTAATCCTTGTACTACTTTATAAGCATGGTAAACGTTCCTGTTGCTATTTTTTTTTTTTTCCAGTATTCATAGAAAATAAAATAATTGGCTCAAAAATGCAAACAAAACAAAACCATCCTTTTTAGAAGATACGCTAAATGTTATGTAAACCACATAAATGTATGTCGTAGCAGTCTTGTTCATGAAAGAGGTATGTAAGAAGGGAGCTGGATGAGATTATGAGAATCCTGTTACAGAAATAGATTTAGTTAAAACTCTTAACTTATTTGAGGACGGGCTAAAACAACAGAATGTTTTGAACTTTGTGAGATATATAAAGCTGTGCATAGGTATCAGTATATTCATCCACGTGAAAGAAAAAGCTAAAATATCTCCTAGCTAAATGAAGGCTTTCAAAAGGAAACAAACCGAATCTCCACAAAGAATATTTAAATGTCACTTGTTAATATAGTCTGAGATGGTCATCTTTTAAAGTATTTTACCAAAGAAATGTTACATGAGGTTTGATTTTAGCCTTGACAATAAAGATTTTTACAAATAAATTGTGCTGGGCATACAACACACTAAGGTATCTGCATCAAACTGTAGATGTATAAGGTCAGAATTAGAAAGGGTGTTAAGGAACATTAGTGGTTCAGGCAGATGAAGTGGGATTTCCAAGGCAAGTGGTCACCTTGGTTTTGAGAACAGTACTGGGACATAATAAAACTGATGCTGTAAATGCACATGATGAGAAGTCTGTGCTCTACTTCTCATTACTAAGTGAGGCCAGAATCCTAAGTCAGACCTTCACACACTAGAAACACAGATGGGTTTGTTTGCTTTCCAGTTCTCAGAAGCTTTAGCACAGCTGCCAGAGAGAGGACACTTCTGTGAGGGCTGCAGGTGGTGGCAGAAAGTGCCCCCCTGGGAGGATGCATCAGTCTTACTCTGCCCCATAAAAGCTGAGGGAAATGCCACAAGGCCCAGAGCCTGTGCATGAGCTGCTGATGAGACTTCTCACCATTAGCGTATCTGTTGCTTTTAAGAAAAGAACCTGTTATCAACTGGCACCCTTGGGAGGTGGGAGCAGCAGAAGAAAGGCAAGGTCACGCTACTGCCTAAGAGATACCCTTCCAGTCACCCCATGGGTGAGAAAGGCTGGCATGTCAGATTCCTACTGCAAAAGTACAGTACTGCCTAGTGCAAGCTTGAGTTCAGTAGAAGTACAATCGACCTTGCATAATTAAGGACACATTTTTGGAAGGGAGCTTGGAATAATTCTTATGTGTATATTGGTTTTTAGCATCAGTGAGTATAGGCTCAACTTGGACTCCATTTTAGAAAATGAAATAACTATCTGAATCTCTTTTGTCACATCTTGTTACTTGTTTTGTTTGTTTCTCATGACCACTGAAAATTCCTCAGTAACTAAAATAATCAGTTGTTTTGTCAGATCTTCAAAAGCATTTTCACTTGCAATTGCAGGCTTTGCCTGCAGAAATGCATAATAGCCTTTGCTTAGTGGCCTCCCTGAGTGACTGCAGTTGCTGTTATGTTCTGCTGTGAGGCACCCAGCTGGGGACAGGTGGGTTGCTGTCTTACTATAATGTCATGGATATTGCTGTCCACCCAGCTCTCAGAAGTAGCGTGCACCCTGGTTTTTCTTTTCCCAAATGAAAAAGACAAAATGTCACAGAAGAAGGAAGCATATTAGTTCTATCTTTGGCTGCTGAGTGGGGAAGTGCCTTTAAGATGCAATTTATACCCTCTGAGGCATCTCATAAGCACTAGGACCTGCTTAACTGACCCTCTTCCACAGCAGTAAGTCCAGTTTAATAGCATGTTTGATTCACTGCAACTGCTGGCTCCCTGCAAAAGGGAAATTCTTTCTTGCTCAATTTTTCTGCTCCCTTGTATTAGATCTCATACTCATAGAGCTTCGCAACCAGCCAGGCACTGTTTGAGGCAAAATATTAGGTTTCTGGGGCATCAGTGAACTGATCTGACTTACCACATAGTTTAATTACCTGATGTCATAGAGATAATATCCAAAAGTAAGAGCTAGAAAAGGAAAACAATATATGGTTTTGCTGACAGCCCTGGTGATCTTGTCTATATCTAACTCTACCCTTAAATTCATTGACTGGGGTACCTGGGGAACTGTAGGTGCCAGTAGGCCTTTTGATTAGCAGTCATTGAGGCAGATCATCACACTGTGCACAGGTTGTGCATCCCTCTGTGCTGAAGCCACCACTATGCTAATGCCAAAATATGAGCCTTCTCATCATATTTCTGTTTAGTGGCAAACTATTAAAAAAATAATAAAATTAGAGTAAAACTAAGTAACTTGCATTAGGAATGGAGCAAATCCTTGCAAGATACTGGTGATGACAGATTTTTGTTTATTTTATTGTGCAGTTGGTATGGAAACGGGCACTTAAAGATCGTTTCAAATATGTGCGGAGAGCCATCGAAGATGATGAGCAAGTTTTGAAGAACAAATGCAAGTTTGGCCATAGGAAAGGACAGAGCAGGAAATCTTCATCTGTTGAAAACAAACCTAATGATGTCAAAGCACAGAAAGTGGTAAGATTCTGTGATCTCATCCTGTTGACATTTTCCTCAAAGTTTCTTCTGTAGCCAGATTTTGGACTTATTTTTTTTTCCTGGAGAATTGAGCATCAATAGTAGAGCTGAACCCAACATTTAATTCTTTGTACATTTGATATCATTTATAGATGTCTCAGTTGGACAAAAAATTCTTCTATTTTTAATGCAGTTCCCATTCTGCCTTAGGTTATACATCTCCAGTTACAGTGAAAAATAGAGGTTTACATCTAAGCTGAAATCTGTAAAAATAAGAATGTAAAGTGATGTTTAAGAAGGCATGAAATGGCCATACCCTACTACCATGTCACACTTTGTTATATACTATTTGAATTAATGCATAACATACTTAGGGATGCTTACGAATGTATGCATGCAGATGCAGTATTTCCCTTTAGTTAGAGAACTTACAAAGAGCTGTTAATGCCCAGTAAGTGTTTAAACCACACTAATTATCCCGTACACTTTCATACATTCCAGTTATGCTTTGGCAACACACCTCAAATTCCTTTCAGTGCTACAATTAAAATATGGTAAAACTTAATTACAAGAATATGATAAAGAAGTTTTCAGTTAATCAGTTTATGTATGTCCATACTGCTAACTCTTTACCAGGCATATATTGGGGAAGCAAGAGTGGTTTGCCTGACCCATTTTTGCATAAGTTACACCTTTAGCTGTAGTTTTCTACCTAAAAAGCACATATATTTATTAGAGGCTTCAGTGATTTCTGGATATCTCCTCCTAAGTAATGAACACATCTTCTTCCTGCCTGCTTTAGTTGGAAGGTTTGCAGTTTATGAAACAAGAAACAAAATTTGGGTGCGAAATAATAAACAGCCTTGCATGTGGTAAAAGAGAAGCAATAGGCTTTCACATGTGCATCAAGTCAGCCTTAATTTATCTTGGAAAGAAAGGGCAAGTCTAGGTCTTTATCACATCAGTTACTTGAGAAGGCTCTGCTGCGACCCCACGGGAATGAATGCATGCTCAACTTCTATCTCCTATAGATGAGGTGTAATCACAGTGTGCCATACCTACACTGTAAGCTGGGAATGCTGTTACCTTTGATTGTGCTGCCCAAGGCCATCACTGTTCACTCCTGGCTTGTTCTAGAAGTTGAAGAAGGAAGCACATTCCCAGAAATTTCCTGCTGGCTGAAGATTTGTAAAAGAGTAAGGGTGAAACTAGAGGGTGCCGGGATGCTGACCTATCCCTGAACATTTTCCCCCATATCCTAAACAAAGGGAGGTATAAAAGAAAAAATTAACACTTGTTAGGCTTAGGAACTAATCCTAAAAGGGATTCATGCCTTAGTTTTAAATGTGTTTCTAAGTAGAAAAAAATAACTTGGGCTCTTAGAGCCAGATATTTGTTATTACAAAAGGTAAAAGTGCACACCTGAACAAGATGCTTTTTTAGCATTCTTTCAAACAAATGCATTTCCTATATTTAGCAAAATATAGAACAGTAACTTCCCACTTATCTTTGGCAATAACTATTTTGTGATAAATTTAAAATGCTAAACAGAATATCATAGCCTCAGAAAATAAATATTTGGTGTAGAAGGCAATACCACAAGCAAAAGATTCAAATTAAGTCAGCCCCCCTGCCTTCATCCCTTTTACAAGCCTGGAGGAATAGGTTGGGGAGCCCATCACGATTATTCAAGGGTGGGAAGTGAATTCCAGGTTAAGGAGACTTTTGGAGAATGATCAATGGAAGATTTCTAACCACTTTGCATCCGTGCTTTCCCCTAGATAGGCAGAATAGGACACTTGGGGCATTATAGGTCAAACGCAGTGGGGAAGCAGTGCAGGTGAAAGTGCACATCTGTTCCCAATGGATAACATAGCCACCAGTCACACAGCTGACTTCTATTCAGAAACTAAAGCTCCATATAGTCACAAGGTGCAATTCCATTGAATGCTTGTTGTGTCAGTATAACCTTGAATTGTTAATGGTATGAATGTGATGAAAAGACTCTTTACCCCTGAGGTATTCCTTAGCACAGGTGGTATTTACTTATACATAAGAAAAAAGAAAAAAGAAAAAAGAAAAAAGAAAGAAGAAGAAAAAAAGTTTGCTACTCTTGTTAAAGACTAAAGTCTTTGACTGCTCTTCCAATCTCACCAAGGAAATAATAAACAGAATAAACAAACAATTAAAAATTGCTTGCTAGTGATCTTTTGGGAGCCACAGACGATCTCTATCTCTTTGCTTGCTCAAGCCCTGTCACCCACCAGCAGGCATTCCTCCTCCAAACACAACAGGATTGTTACTTGGCCTCCTATTTCGTCAGGGTATTTCTTCCAGATGCAGCACCCAGCTTTATTTTCAAGACTCTAAAATGTGCTACTTCTTAGAAAGCACTATATTCAATGATATGAAAGAGTATATTCCCTTTAGTATCTTTAGTATATTCCTAGCTAGAATCAGAAGAAAAATTTTGAGCAAGTGCAGTGTTGAGGGCCATATAATCATGATGAATACACAAAAAGTCATGCTGGATTTACCTGTCACTATAGCCCTGATGGAAGTTTCACTCAGAATGATGCTCCCTAAAAATAGTTATCAGGCTGAATGAGTCTCTGTTGGAAAGAATCTTAAAATGGAACCTGACGCAAACCACCTCCAGCCAAATGTAACAGGAGGAGCCCTAGACTTGGAGGGGCTCGAACAGAGAGGAGATCACAATCCCTCTTTTAAGGCCTACAATTTCTTAAGTCTCTGGAAAACTGCTGGTGTGCTCAGCTGGGCTTCTCTGAAACAGTTGTAAAAGATGTAAATTTGGTGTTAGGTGTGAAAAGGAAAAATAAGCACTGATAAGGCGTTAAGATAGGAGTAGATAATTGCAGATACTTCACAGTTACACTCAGCAGAACTGGGAATAAACATAGCGAAAATCACTTCTAAAAAGGCATCAGCAGGCCACCTCCTTTTTGTGTTTATGGGATAGAGATGAAATATTTTGACAAGTACTTAAAATGGGAAAAGTGGAAGGATTCTGCAGGAACTTAAGCTCATGCATTTGGACATCAGTCAATATTATTCATGTACAGGAAAGATAAGCAGCAATGTTGAAAGTGGTGAATATGCAAAAATTCTATGGCAGGAGGATCAGATGAAAACTGGAGAAGATGCTTCAGGCCCAGACAGCACCCCAGGTGGAAGCTGAGACGTGATACCATATGTGATTGTTTTGACACTATTGTGCAATACAAGAACAATGAAGGTGGTGATAACGTTCTTGCCCTAAGACTGAGACTTCCGTTCACTGATGAGACTTCAGAGAAAGCTTCCTTCGGAGAAAATGGATGGGCTCCTATCTTTAAATAGAAGGAGGGTTGCAGAAAAGCAATGTGATGGGCTTTCTGACTTTGGTCGAAATCTGTGGGTGGCCAGAGCTAAATTAAATGATGAAGCCTGGAAGCTTTAACCTGCACAAAGAACCTGATTTAGGAAAGATGTAGAAAACAGTTTTTTTACAAGTCGGCATAGGGGAGCTGGTTATTGAAGGACATCAACCACTTAATGAGGTGAAACAGATGATCTCTGTTGTTTTTTTTGCTTAGGCTCTTAGTCTGTGTAAAATATTGCCACTGCCAGACTGATAATGAAGCTGGGGAGCCTCTGGGGCGGTCTTAGGGCTGACTGCTGGGAGGCAAATGGTGAAGCTGAACCTTTTATATTCCTCATGGTACTCCACTGGCTTCCCACTCATTGTGATCAGGAAACTGTCTTTTCTGATGAAAGAAGTAAACATGAACAAGTATTGCCAACTCTGAGCTGGAGTTTCTTTTATCTCAATACAACTTTAGATTTGAAGCCCTTGTAGACATTTTGTAGGAGTATGTTTGTCTTTGAGGTGATTAAAACAGACATCTTGTTCATCAATGAGATTATGCCACTGCAGGAACCAGAAACTTGAAACAAGGTTTCAAGGAATGCAGAGAGTGTTGGAAGATCCCAGGGTGCGGGTGGAAAGGGAGAAATGAAGGGGAGAAAAGCCATTAGAAAGTGAAAGAAGAAACCAAATTAATTAAACAAGTGCAAGATTTTCAAAGTTTTAACTTGATGTGCAGAAGATAGAGAAACTCTTCTCTGAGCCATGTGGTTGAGGGATGCTGTTGGCAGCTACAGAATTAGGTTTCATCTATGCAGTGAATGTTGTACATTGGTGAAGCAGGAGTGACAGCCCATTTTCCTCTAAGATTAAAAATCTCAAAATCATGTGTTTCTACGTTCGCAAAGCCAAAGTGTGAAACTGAATTTACAAATGATCATTCAATGGTTGTACTGATGTAATGTGGCTTTTCTGCTAAAACTTTGATGTGTGCACATAGTGAGTGGCATTGCTTAGTTAATATTTTAAAGCATTCTGATAGTCAATTGAAAACCGTTCAGCACAAATTGCTAGTGCATACATTACGCCTCACCCTTTTTCATATCATTCAATATCTCCATTGTTCTGTGAGTTAATGTGAAGGAGTGAAGTATGGGCAGTTCTTTGACAGAGGATAACAGATTTCACACCATTTTGCTTTTGCTGTTCTGTAGTTTGCAAGTTAGAAAGCATTTGCGGTCAGAAATAAAATGAATTATATGGCTTTGAAAGTTTGTAATTAATATTGGCATGCAAGTCTAGCTCTGAAAGTATATGCCTGGCTCAAGAGGGTAATTATGTATAATTAAAGCAGAGCTTGCTTTAATTAAATACGAGTCAGTTTGGATCCTTCAGTAGGCTACACATTCATTTTGCATGAAAGCAGTCTGCCCGTGCTGTTTCCCCAGTCTTTGTGTTCAGCTTTTGGACATGAAGGCTGCCATGACTGTGATGCTTTCTCAGTTCTCTCCCACTTTTTGGGGCAAGAAGGTGGACAATGAGCTGTGCATAATTTATTGCTTATGTTTCAAACTTGCAACAGAGTAGTCAGATTTTCTTTTTCACTTGATCATTCCTTTCCCAAATAAAAATA